TAATGGTTGCAGAGTATTATGAAAATGCTCAAAACCACTGGATTGTTCACTTTAAAATGGTGAAAGTTTAAATGAATTATAATTCAAATTAAAATTCTAAGGTTCTGAAGAAGATGACAGGATGAAGTAGAGAAAGGAGGAGGAGCAGGAGGAGGGGAAAAGGGAAAGGAAGGAGGAAGCCATGGTTTAGATGGTGGGGTCCCCAGAGCCTGGTGTGTTAAGGACTTGATCACCAGCTATTGGAGTTCTTGGGATCTGGTGGAACCTCTAGGAGGTGGGGCCTGGTAGAAAGGAGTTGGGCGATATTGGGCTCTTGTTCTTTCCTCCTCTTTCTCTGCTACCCAACAACCATGAGGTCAGCAGCTTTGCTGACCACACAATCCTGGCCATGATGTTCTGCCTCATCATGGGCCCCAAATGGCAGGCCCAAGTAATCATGTCTGAAACTTCTGAAACCAGGAGGGAGCCAAAATAAATCTTTTCTCTTTTGAAGTTGATTATCTCAGGTATTCTGTCACAGCAATGAAAATCTGACCAACACAAAGAAGGAGGAGGACCCATTGGCTTTGAGTTGTTAGCCTTGAGCCCTTCCTTCCCCTTCTAAGTGGTCTAATCTAACCCCAGGCCCTCTGCCTGCTCTCTTCAGTTCTGAGGGTCCATCACCCTGGCAATGAGCCGGAGGCTGAGAAACCTCCGACCAGGCCTTGTTTTTCCTGACCCCTGAGCCTTGAACTCAGCTCTACCTATGCTCTGAGTGATGACTGCTGAGCAAACACCCCACCCCTATATGGGTCCCCTGACAGAAGTTGCCAGAGGAGACTCTTACCTGAGTCACTTCTGAACGGTGGACACTCCTGAAGAAGACTTTTGTTCTGAAGTCAGTTTATTTCCTTGGAGAATATGAACCTTAGACTTTCTGTTAGTCAACTTTTCGTCTCAGGGACCACAATACCCAACGAGAACAACTGAGAGGAGGAAAACTTGATTATGGCTCATGGTTTCAGAGGTTCAGTCCATGGTCGGCCAGCTCAATCCCATTGGGCCCTAGGGAGGAGGAACCTCACGGAAGAAGGGCATGGCAGAAGAACACTGTTCATGGCAGCTTGGAAGCAAAGAGAGAGGAAGGGGAAACAGGGAAGATGAACCTTCCAGAGCATCGCCCTGTGACCCACCTCCTCCAGGCTCCTGACCTGCCTACAGTTACCACCCATTCAGTCCATTCAAACGGATTGAGTTTCAGATCTCATCATCCAATCGTCTCACTTCTGAATATTCCTGCATTGGCACGGGAGCTTTTGGAAGACACTTTATGTCTGAACCAAAACAAACTTTGTTCTCAAAAAATAAGGATACCTTATTGTTATGGGATTGAAGCATGTTCACCCCGAAATATATGCCGGAACCACAACTCGTTAACACTTACAATGTGACCTTACTTGGAAATAGGGTCTTTACAGAGATGATGGATTTAAAATAAGGTCAGTAACATGGGCCCAAATCCAATATGCCTGCTATCCTCATAAGGAGAGAAATTTTGGACACAGCTACACAGATACATCGGGAAGACCACATGAGGAGACACAGGGAGAAGATGACCGTAATACTGAGTGACACAGAGCTGCAAGCTAAGGGATGCCAAGGATCTCCAGCAAACATCAGAATCCAGAAGAGACAAGGAAGGGTCACCTGTACAGCCATCAGAGAGAACATGTCCCCTGCTGACGCCTTGATCTCAGACTTCTCACTGCCWGAATTGTGACATGAGTTTCTACTGTTTTAAGCCAAGTAACTTTAGCACTTCATTATGGCAGCTCTGGGAAACCAACACACATGTGAGAATATAGAGTCGCTGGAGACCGGATGGCAGATTCACTGGATTCAGAAAGACACCATTGGTTACTAATCATCGGTAGAAACCAGCTAGCAATACATGCAACAGCTCCAGCACATCAAGGGAATGATACTTGGTGGGAAAAAAAAATTACATCTAAAGGTTACATATTGCATGCTTCTATTTATATAACATTCTTGAAATGACAGAATTATAAACATATTGGTGGTTGGCAGAGCTTTGAGAGAAGGGGAGAGAGGTCAATGGCTGTGGCTATAAAAGGCTTCATTAGGGATCCTTCAGTCAGAACTATTCTGTATCTTGATTGTAGTGGTGTCATACACATCTATACATGTGACAGAATTGCATACAACTAAATGCACACAAATGCTTGTGAAACTGGCAAAATTGGAATGTCTGTAGGCTATATCAATGTCAATATCCTGGTTGTGATGTTGTACTGTAGTTACTCAAGATGTTGCCAGGGGGCCCACCTGTAATCAGTGACTCTGGAGGCTGAGGCAGGAGGGTCCCAAGTTCAAAGCCAGCCTCAGCAACTTAGTGAGACTCTGTCTCAAAATTTAAAAATAAAAATTTAAAAAAGGGAGGGGGATTTGGCTGTGGTTAAAGGCCTTTGGGTCCAATTCTTAGTGAAAAAAAAAAAGTAACCATTGGGGGAAAATGCATATAGGGTCTACTTGTTTTCTTTGTATTATTTCTTACAACTACATGTGAATCTATAGTTATTTCCAAATTTTAAAAAGTTTTTTTAAAGTAGCTACAGGTTATGTCAATGTAACCCAAGAAAGTAGTTGTCACTGAATACGAATGAAATTGAAACTTATTTTCATCTAAGTACAATTCAAGATGTGTTGGTCTCTTTTTTTAAGGGATAGGGAAACAAAGTGAAAACTTCAAAAAATCATCTGGATAAAAAATAAAGCAAGAACAGTAAAGAAACTTTGTCATTCCTGTGTTGGAAACTCAAGTCTATAATGCAATAGTGTTATGGGGACTCTGCCCTGGAGAATAGATCAATGGACCGTTATCCCCAGAGTGGGTTCCTGACACAGGGAGAGTTCAGCAATGTCTCTGTGTCACTGCTCTTGCTCTCCACTGGAATGTTCTTGTTCTCCCACCTTCTACCATCAGAAGGCCCTTACCAGATCGAGGCCCCTAAACTTTGGACTTCCCAGTATCCAGAACTGTAAGAAATAAATCCCTGTTTTTATTAATTACCCAGTCTCAGGTATTCTGTTACAGTGACAGAAAAAGGACTAAGAGAGGCACAAGACTTGGAAAATAAGCTGGCAGCATTTGTATAAAAGAAAAAAGTCTGGGCTCAATGGTAGAGCACTTGACTGGCATGTGTGAGGCAATGGGTTCCAGCCTCAGCACCACATAAAAATAAAAATAAARTAAATGTACTGTGTTCATCTACAACTAAAGAAGAAAATTTTAAAAAGAGAGACAGAGAAAAGTCTTTAAACTATTTCCTGCCAATCAAGAATTCCACAGTAGAAAATTTATTTTAGACAAACTTAAATTCACTAGGTGAATTTTGTAGAAAGATATTCATTGCAATGTTATTTTAAATAAGAAATAAGAGAGGGAGTGTTAAACTATGATAATTTGCTGCCACTAAAATGTTTTCAAGGAGTTTGTAATAATAGGGAAATCCTTATTTTTGTAAGTTCAAAGACTATAGAAAGGGTCATTTTAGGCATAATGTGATTAATACGCCTTCAATAAAACCTGGATATGTTTGACAGTATCAAGGAATATTAATTTTTTATTTTCCCTCATCATCTGTACATACTTAAGAATTCAGGGAGGAAATGAAAGGATATCTAAGCTTGCCCCAGTTGGAGATGGGAGCTATTCCTGCTTAGATGAGAGAGTGGGTCTCCTGTGGTCACTGCCATGCCAGGTGTTGAGTACCTTGATTACATTATGCCACTCTTTTTTTTTTTTTTTTTTTTTTTTTTGGTGGTGCTGGGGACTGAGCCCAGGGACTTGTGCATGCTAGGCAAGCACTCTACCAACTGAGCCATATCCCCAGCCCCACTTTTCTGCTTTTAATGTTCGAAACTGTCCACAATAAAAGAGCCTTACAAGTCTGAAGCACACAAAACGCTGGCATTGGACCATGGGTGATTTCCAATCCTCTGAATTCCTTTATTGTATGTGTTGCTGGGGATTGAACCCAGGGCCTTCTGCGTGAGGGGCCCGCATTCTACTGAGCTATATCCCCAGCCCTGTGCATATTTCACACTCATCATGTTAATCATAAACTTTTTAGTGAAAGGGGAGCAAGTATAGGCAAAGCCTTCTCCTTCTTCCATTGTGCCTGGGGAGTGGGAAATAACCTCAATCCACACATCATTCAAGTCTTTTCAAAGAGAATTTGTATGTATTCTTTCACAAAAGCCTCATAATCATACTGGGAGATTTTATTTAGGAAGCCCCAGGTGGAAGCGAAGGAATGTCTGGTCTTACTAACTCCACGCCTAGACTTGGGCATTTCTGACCGCGCTTCGGAATTTTCCCAGCACAGAGCAGGTTGCTGGGATTTCAAGGAGTGGGGGGAGAGGCACCTGCAAAAGAGGTTGGTAGACTGGGAGAACTAGTCTAAGGAAATAAAACCAAGCACAAAGATGGGTTCCTCTCCTCCTGTTCTTTCTTCCGGCCCCGACCCCTTCAAACATTTGACATTATTTTGGGGGAAGAAAGAAGAGCGGGAACAAGGCAAAGTGGCGGAGTCAGTGGCGGCCACCGCTGGAGGGAGCAGGTAGCCAGTACCGCGTTCCCACCGCCCCTGCCCGCGGGAGCCACACTGGACAACACCTCCTCAGTCTCCCACCCACGCGGAGCGCAGATTGACAAACGCAGTGCCACCTGAGGGAAACTTGGGAGTAGGAGTAGTAGGAGCTACCAAAAGACAGGAGCGAGGGGAGCTGAAGAAGTCAGGAGTGAACGCCGAGCCGCAGAGTGTACAAGAAGGAGTTTGCCCTTGGTTGGCTATGCACTGCCTCTGCATGGGACACTAGCCCTAAAAGACTTTGGGAGTCCCCAGGAGCGAGAAGGGGAAGACGCTGGGCTTGAGCAGGTGAGGTCCCTAGTACTCTCTGCGCACTGCCCGGGGCTCTCCCGCTACAGGAGCGATGGCGCAGGGGTCACGGCGGCTGCCGGGGCTTCTTCCAAAGTTGGGGTGGGGATGCTGAGTCACTGATCTGTCACTACTTTGCACCTCTCCTCAGCCCTCCGGGGGCTAAAGCAAAAGCGAAAGCGAATGCGTCTGGCGGGCGGCCGGTCCTGGAGCTGCGCTCGCCACTTTCCCGAGGCCGGGGCATTGCACTCGCGGCTGTCCTGGGGGGTCCTGGGGGGGCACCGCGGGCCGCGCGGCCATGGCCCGGCGGCGGTTCCTAGGCTCTGGAGTACACGCCCTCCGTGGACTACTGCTGCTGCTGCTGCTCCGGCTGCCGGTGACGCCGGGTAGGGAGCGGCTTGCGCTCGGGCGGGGCTGCGAGCGAGGCCGGGGCACCGAGAGGGCTGGCACCGAGCGCCCCACCTCCCCAGGCCGGGCCAGAAGTCGGGTCCCGGAGGAACGCGGAGTGTGCTGACTCCGGGCGGGAGGGACACGTGGAGGAGTCGCGGAGAGGGCAGGGAAGAGCGCCGCCGTCTGCCCTGCTCCAAGGAGCAGAGCTGCCAGCTGCGCACGCAGGAAGGAGAAGCCGGGTTTGGCAATGGGAGTGGAGTGTCAGTGTTGCACGGCAAGTTCCAGAAGTGTGTAAGTGCACCTCGGTGCGGGGCTGGTACTGCACACGGTCCCCCCAGAGGTCCGGGGACACGACCCCTCTTGACGTTCAGGCAAAAATAGATTACATGGATGGGCACCTGGAAGAGCAGGGTAAGGACTATGTCCCTGGGGAGGAAAAACGTGTCGGGCAAGTTGCACACCTGGGGACCTGGAACCAACTCCCAGTTCTTAAGTGGGCAGGAAATCGGGAGCCGGGATGGTACCGGTAGCTCCTAGTAAAGGGGGAAGAAAGGAAGCTGGTGATCATTTGGTTGTTCGAGAATGTGTGTCTCGCAGATCTGAGAATCTATTGAGTGACTCGTGGGTTTTTTTTTTTTTTTCGGGACCTATAGAAAGGAAGAGAAAAGATAGATGAATACACTGTGTTCTTGTAGGTTTTTCTTATCGTTTTATAGGGAAGGAGCTTTATCAGCGTCTGATAAAAAGCTATAAATTCTCTCTCCCTCTCCCTCTCCCCCCCCCTTCTCTCTCTCATCTCTCTCTCTCAAAAATGCATGAATATACACACTTAGAAAAATGTTCATGGGATTTGGGGGTCAAGGACCTACCGAATGTCACCCAAGGATATCCATGAAAGTTAGCAACCCCCACTGTCTCCATGCGCTTTTAACCAAGACCTGCAATAATTTACATGCAGTCCAGTGGGGCAAATCTGCCTGCTGGGTTTTAGCCGGAACCGGCCCTTTCACAGTTGCTGCTGCCTGGCTTGATCTGAACCCCATAGTTCCACTAAGTTTTATGAAGTTTCATTTTTGAAAGACAGTGATTCTGGATTTTCCCCTACATATGAGAAGCTGAGTTATGTTGGAGACTTGGTCATTTCCTCCCAAATGTGTAAACAGTGTCCTGTGATGATTTCTGAGGAGATGCTAGAAATAATCAGCAATAGGCTGCTCTATTACATAATGTGAAAGTGAAATGCAGCTTTGGTCAGCGCCCAGCTGAACTGCAGGTGTCTGTCCATCTGAAAGTAATAGGAGAGCACTGAAGCTTGTGGACAACACATAGGCTTGCACTCTGACCTTGCAAAGGTGTTGTTGGATCTTGATGTTTGTTCGTTCCTTTAAAAAAATAGCCTTATTAAAGTATAGTTGACAGATAATAAAGTGCATATATTTAAATTGTGCAATTCAATAAGGTTAGAGGTAAATACTACACTCATGAGACCACATAATCCATTGCTACTGCCTGTCCTCATACTCTGCATAATCTTTACCACCCACCCCACCCTGCCTCCAGCAATTACTGTCAATAGTTTTGATACACTTTCTAGAATTTCATATAAATATATGGAATTATACAATAGATACTCCTTCTTGTTTGACTTCTTTCACTCAGTATTTTTTTCTGAGAATTCACGATATTGTAATGGTTGTGTATATAGTCATGTGATGCTCAGGAAGGGGACCATAGTCTTATTTAAATCACTACTCTTGATGCCTACAATAAAATACCTGTCACATGGTAGGCATACCATAAAATTTTGTTGCTCATTTGAGTAAGATGCCTATATGAAATTAGGCTTAAAGGAAAGTTCACAGATATTAAACTAACAGAATGATAGTTAAAGTCAAAATAAGATTTTATATTCCTGCTTATCTTTTTTAAAAATTAATTTATTTTTAATTTATTCTGATTTGTTATACATGATAACAGAATGCAGTTCATTTCATATTATACATATAGAGCACAATTTTTCAAGACACCGTACAAAGAATATTTTCGCACCATTCATTTCTTATACATGTACTTAGGGTAATGATGTCTAACTCATTCCACCATCTTTCCCACCATCTTGTCCCCTCCTTTCCCCTCCCTTGCCTTTGCTCGATCTAAAGTTCCTCCATTCCTCCCATGCTCGCAGCACCCGCTCATCCCCATTATACCTGTGTGCATTTGAGTCCTCATACCAGGGAAAACATTCGGCTTTTGGTTTTCTGGGATTGGCTTGCTTCACTTAGCATTATATTCTCCAATTTCATCCATTTACCTGCAAATGTCATGATTTTATACTCTTTTAATGCTAAATGTTCCATTGTGTATATATATCAAAGTTTCCCTATCCATTCATCTACTGAAGGGCATCTAGGTTGGTTCCATAATTTAGCTATTGTAAATTGGGCTGCTATAAACGTTGTTATGGCTGTGTCCCTGTAGTATGCTGTTTTTAAGTCCTTTGTGTATAAACCAAGGAGTGGGATAGCTGGGTCAAATGGTGGTTCCATTCCCAGTTTTCCAAGGAATCTTCAAACAGCTTTCCAGATAGGTTGTACCAATTTGCAGTCCCACCAGCAATGTATGAGTGTGCCTTTCCTCCCACATCCTCGCCCACACTTATTGTTTGTATTCTTAAGAACTGCCATTCTGACTGGAGTGAGATGAAATTTTAGAGTAATTTTGATTTGCATTTCTTTAATTGCTAGAGATGTTGAACATTTTTTCATATGTTTATTGATTGATTGTATATCCTCTTCCAAGAAGTGTCTGTTCAGTTCCCTGGCCCATTTATTCATTGGGTTATTTGTGTTTTGTTTGTTTTTTTGTTTTGGTGTTAAGGTTTTTGAGTGCTTTATATATCCTAGAGATTAGTGCTCTATCTGATGTGCTTGTGGTAAAGATTTGCTTCCATTCTGTAGGCTCTCTAGTCACCTCACTGATTGTTTCTTTTGCTGAGAAGCTTTTTAGTTTGAATCCATCTCATTTATTGATTCTTTTTTTTTAATTAATTGATTTATTTATATATGACAGCAGAATGCATTGCAATTCTTATTACACATATAGAGCACAATTTTGGTTGTATACGAAGTATATTCACACCAGTTCGTGTCTTCATAATTCTTGTGCTATAGGAGTTTTATTAAGAAAGTTGGGGCCTAAACCAACATGATGGAGATTTGGGCTTACTTTTTCTTCCACTAAGTGCAAGGTCTCTGGTTTAATTCCAGATCAAGGACCACTTTGATCCACTTTGAGTTGAGTTTTGTGAATGGGAAAGAGGTTTAATTTCATTTTGTTACATGTGGATTTCCAGTTTTCCCAGCACCATTTGTTGAAGAGGCTATCTTTTCTTCAATGTATGTTTTTGGCACCTTTATCTAATATAATATAACTTAAGTTATGTGGGTTAGACTGTGTCCTCTCTTCTGCATTGGTCTGCAGGTCTATTTTGGTGACAATACCATGCTGTTTTAGTTACTATTGCTCTGTAGTATAGTTTTAGGTCTGGAATAGTAATGCCACCAGCTTCATTCTTCTTGCTAAGGATTGCTTTGGCTATTCTGGATCTCTTATTTTTCCAGACGAATTTCATGATTGTTTTCTCTATTTCTATAAGGAATGCCACTGGGATTTTGATTGGGATTGCATTGATCTGTATAGTGCTTTTGGTAGTATGGTCATTTTGATAATATTAATTCTGCCTATCCAAGAACAAGGTAAATCTTTCCATCTTCTAAGGTCTTCTTTAATTCATTTCTTTAGCATGTTGTAGTTTTCATTGTAGAGGTCTTTTATCTCTTCTGTTAAATTTATTCACCTCTTTTATTAAATTTATTTTTTTTGAGGCTATTGTAAACGGGGTGATTTTCCTAGCTTCACTTTCAGCGGATTTGTCACTGATGTACAGAAATTGATTTATGGGTGTTTGATTTATGGGTGTTGATTTTATATCCAGCTACTTTGCTGAATTCATTTATTAATTCTAAGAGATTACTGGGGGAATGTTTTGGGTCTTCTAGGTATAGAATCATATCGTCCTCAAGTAGAGATAATTTGAGTTCTGCTTTTCCTATCCATATTCCTTCCCTGCTTATCTTATAATGTTCTACTGTAGAGTATTGGAGTAATGATATGAGGAAAATTCTATAGAATTATTGGAATTAGGGGCCAGGGTTGTGGCTTAGCGGTAGAGTGCTCGCCTTGCATGTGCGAGACCCTGGGTTCGATTCTCAGCACCACATAAAAATAAAATAAAGATGTTGTGTCCACCAAAAAACTAAAAAATAAATATTAAAAAAGAATTATTGGAATTATTGGCCTACTTAAAAAAAAAGAATTCGCCATATTGTAACGTGTGTCTAATAGTTCAGTCCCTTCTATTGCTAAATTGTATTTCATTCCGTGGCTGTCCAGTCACATGTTAATGAATGTTTGCCTTGTTTCCATTATTTTGGCTTTTACATATAAAGCTGTTAAGAATGTTCATGCTACATGTTTTCTTGTGGCCCTATGTGCCTTCATTTCTCTTGGGTAGAGAATGGATAGGAGAAGAGCAGCTGGATTGGATGTTGGGCATGATGTTTGACTTTTAAGAATGTGCCGAACCAGTGTCCAAAGCGGTGGTACTATTTCACATTCCCACCAGCAGTGTGAGAGTTACAGTTCTTCCATGTCCAGGTCAGCACTGGATATTATGAGTCTTTTTTTTTTGTAATAAACTTTTTTTTAAACWTTTATTTTTTAGAATTAGTTGGAAATAAACCTTTATTTTATTTATTTATTTTTATGTGGTGCTAAGGATCGAACCCAGGGCCTCGAACATGCTAGGTGAGCACTCTACCACTGAGCCACAATCCCAGCCCCTGATGAGTCTTTTTAATTATGTCCAATCTAATAGGTAATGCAATGGTCTCTTGTTCTAGTTTTAATTTGCGTTTTCCTAATATGTAGAAATGTT